ACCGCTCCTACCACCGCTAGAGATATACAAACTTTGATTGTGGCGCATACCATCGGATCAAGGTGTACGTGCAAGTGTATGGGCGGAGGCAGCTGGCGACCTGCGGGGCGGAGTTGCCTTCGTCTCACACACGCGAGATTCCGGCACCCAACGAGAAGCCATGACTAAGATTTGTCTGTGTACTTACGGAAGAGAGGTCCGTTAGCGTTTTCCCTCTACTAGGTATCTGGGCCAGGTCCCGCTGTCGTCACCCCCAGGAGGGGTCAGTACGCCCTCTCTTAGCAGGCGTGTCTGGCGATGAACACACAAGTGTCGAAGATTTTAGGACAAATAAGCTGCGCTCTTAATAGCCCTTCCTTTTTCAGACCACTGCGTTGGCCCCTTAAAAGTCGGCCCTTACGAGCTGATTTATTCTTTTTAATCCAGATTCTTATTGACGCACGCTGAATATTCTCCCGCTTTTCCCGAAGCCATTCCCGTTCCGTCACTCAGCTACTCTGAGGCCATTGTAAATAAAAGTCGCTCTTATAAAACTCTTCTTCTCGCATGGGGGTCATCCTGGTCTCTCCTCAAGGCTCTCTTTGTCTAGCATTCTCTTGTGCATCCTAAATCAGTCCCCTAAACTTTACCGGGATAGAACGCTTTCCGTACTGCATGTATTGCCCCCACTAGTACGGCTTTTCGGATACGGCTCGTATTGTTTTCGTCTCCGCTCCTGTCCTTGCTTCAAAAATTCCGCCCTTGCTCGACTCAACCTCGCCAGTGGACGTCAGAGACCCCCGAGGCGTTCCGCAGAGGCGCTCGCGACCCCGCCCCCTGCGACCCCTCGCCCCGCGTTTTCGGGGTTGCCCCCCCGCCCTTGCGCTACGAGCGCGCTTCCCCCCGCGCGCGCCACAGATTACGCCCCCCGCGCTTCTCGGCCCCTCTTCGGCCACCTTCGGCACGAAGGATGTTGCCGACTCCGAGTTTAGCTTTTATCCATGGTTGCGGCTTCGCCGCCCGCTTGGCATCCCCGCTTCACCCCTGACTCACCCCGGCTCTCAAAACTCGCCCCGCCTTGCCCTCGTCTCAACCCACCGGCCTCGTCCTAAGAAAACCGTCCACCACACACGCCCGATCCAGAGCCCCTCCCTACCCAGAAACCTCGTTCCCCCCGCATGTACACCACGCCCCCGCGCCCTCCCCTTCCAGCCCCGCCGGGCGCCGCTCCTCCACCCACCGCGCCAGCAGAACCAGGCTCTTAAGTGAATGGTACATCATTATCAGGCGGCCCCCGCGCGGAGGGGCGAGGGGGGGCGGGCGGTGCTGGGGCTTGGGCGGCAGGCGCGCGGCGGCGTTGTTGGGACGCCTCCGCCGCCCGCCCGCAGCGCCGGGAACGAGGCTTTGATTCGCACCCCGGTGCGGCTGGCGACGCCCCTAAATTCCGCCCGGGCGGCTTGCCGCGTCCGCTTCCGCGCGCCGCCCGCCCCTCCCGCCCGGCCACCGCCCGGCGCGCACCGGGCGCGTTGGAGGCGCCTTTCACCACGCGGCTTCTTCCTTTGTCTTGCCTTTTCACAACTCAAACTTTGTTCCGGCTCGTTTTTTTTTATTTCGACGGCCCGTCGCTCGTTCGCAGCCCCGCCGCACTCGCTCCTCACTCGGCTCACGCACGCCCGTCACTGCGGGGTAACACCTGTCCTCGTTACTGACGGACGATCATTTAAATTAATCATCCGAAGATTTCAGCTTATCACATCCCCAATTAATTTTGTCACTACTTTCTTTTTCTTTTTCATCTGTTTCACTTCCAGTAATTTATTTACCACACATTTCCATTCAATTCAATGTTGAACTTTCCTTTCCAAGACTTCAAGATTGAATTCAACTTAAGTAAACAAGTAATGTTGTTACGCGTTTTAAAACAACTAATATGGGAAGAGTAAATGTTAATAAAAGCGTTGTAAGGCTTAAACCACACATCTTAAACAGAGGAACTAGGATTATTCACTTCATTTGTTTGCATATGAGTTTTCTTTTTCTGGCTACAGAAACCATTTAATATTGCTTAAATATACCACTGTCAGTACCGACACAATATCAGTATTAGTCGAATGTACTACATCTTGGATCGTCTCTAATATTTATGCGCGTTCATTACTTGGCGCATTTAATATGTCAATGACAGTATTTGATCAGTACCTTTCTTCATTTCCTAATCTGTGAATTTATTTTAAAACTTTACTATATTATAACGGTTCAAATCTAGCCAATTTTCTCCTTTCATATGTTCCCACTATTTTCTAACTAATCATTTCTAAATATACGAAGTCATCAGTAAAAAAGTTTAATAATCAAGTTACTTCAGCAATTAATTTAGGTTGTCTTTGTCTTCACTGGATTAATACAACTTGTTGGATCATATTTTCCTCAATGTTCTTAGTTGTTCTTTGATTGTTGTCATGTTTTCCAACGATGTTTTTCATTCACTTCGTCTATTTACTCGCAGGTCTTCTGTATCTTGTCATCAAACTTAGCCATTCTTTGAAAAACTCAGTAACGACATTAATTTAGATCAGGCTTAATAAAATAGGTATTAAAATAGTTGTTTTGAGAAATATTGATTGATTACGGTTCTCCTCTCTCGTTGCATGCATGTTTCTCCAGTGAAATGTTTCTGTTAGTGATGAGAATGTCCGATATTTATTAATTTTCAAAATCCAGCTTAATGGAATAATTATTTTGTATTTTTACCAGTCAATCTGCATCATTTACGATTAATTTCCGCTTTCAACAAGGAGAATCTTTTGTAAGTAAATATTGGGTATGAGTATTAATTTTACGCTTCAAATGATACGTTTTCATTTTCCGGAATGGTGGTGCGTAATATACAGTGAGTAATCACCAACTCCCTTGCCATATTATTGAATGGTAACGTACATGCTATATCTTTTAGTATTTTCACCTTTTCTTGTACGTAAGAAATTGTAGCATGCATCAAACCGAGAAAATACTACAACATGCAAAGAAGCTTATAAGTAGTGGATGAAGTCATTGTGCAAATCGTTTGCGTGAGGAAGAACATAAATACTGCGTCCTACTGGAGGCGGGCGTCGTTATAAGAGATTATATCCTATACTAAAATGTTCATTTTATGAAATGGACTTCTTTACATTAAGGACCTCCTTCTTAAATAGTCATAACCGAAAATACGTAAACAAAATGTTCAAAATCAAAATACCATGTAATGCAAAATGTCAAAAACATCTTGTTTTCAGGATGATAACATCTGTGATACCTCAAGAGCATCATCGTTACTTCTGAAGATGTGGTCCTAGGGTTCTAGTATCTGAAAGAGAGGATTATCGACTCTAGATACGTAGTTGTGCCGAGTTCATATACAGGATGGAGGAGAATTCTAGAAGCCGGCTGCTTTGATCGGTTTCTCTATGGTCTCGCGGATCAATTTCAGGCGAATGCCACAGCAGTTCCGGTACAATCAGACCACGAACTGTGCGCGATCTTTGCTCCCCCACCCTTGTTCCCTTGCTTTTACGCACCCAAACACACGCTTTCATGTAACACACTTCGGAAGTCCGAGTCTTAGAGCTGATTCCGTTTAGAGCGATGCCGAGCTGTGTGAGTAGCTGGAGAGGGAAAACCCTGAAGCTGTTCGGCATCAGATCTGTCGTTCCAGTGACGTAGATACACTACCATCTCCTGGGATTTCAAAAGCGTATTTCTTACTCAACTAAATATGTTAGTAGATGCGCCCCCCGAAGTCAATGGTACTCACTCACGCACTCCAGGATCGTTCACTGATCATCCACTGATGACTTTAGCAAAACAGAGTATTTTCCTATCATAATTATTGTTTCAGTTTTAGGTGAAATAGTTAAATTGCTTTTGAACCAAATCAAAATAATATGATAATGATAATATTTTATAATTTTTCTTTTTCTTAGGTGTAATGTTGTGAGTTTTCAAATGACGTTTTTTTTCTTGTTCTACTGATATTGGTTCACCACTTCAGACACTTTCTGATGGAATCAAGAGAAATTACAATGATTTACATTGCGTTGGTCACTGTAAATGCAAATGGGCTTTGTTTAATACTGAAAATTTTAATGTAAAGAACAAATTTGTTGTTGACCATTTATAAAGACGACTTTTTTCGCTCTCAAAACGGATAAAGTGTGCTTGTTCATTTTGGAAAGAACTGTTTCTCTACATGGACTGTTTCTGTTTGAGCAAACCTTTCGGCGAGCGCTGGAGTTTCGCCGTGGCTGTCACGTGACGCGTCTGTTGCAGCGAGTGCCACAACTCGTCGGACCGCATCAAAGTACGAGTATGGGACGAAGACAACGACCTCAAGTCCAAGCTGCGTCAGAAGCTGACGCGAGAGTCAGACGACTTCTTGGGGCAGACCATCATCGAGGTGAGCGCTTTAAAACTGCCTTTCCCCAACTGTCTACCCTCGTAACCCACCACCTTCCCAACCGTCTATCCACCAAACCCACCAAGTTTCCAACTGTCTACCCTCGTAATGTATCAAAAGATTTCAGGCCTGAAGAAGCAGCCGGTAGAATAAAATTGAAGATAGTGAAGCTTGAATGGCTCTGTGGCGGCTTGTGAATTGTGTTCAGGAAGTTGTCTCTTAACAAAAAAGATAAAAATAAATTAATTTAGTAAAATAGGAAAACTTCCTAATATTTTGTCGCATTTGAATCTTTTTGTAACATTCCTTCTACTTTCTTGAGAAATTAGAATCTCTTTGTGTCATAGAAGTAAAATAATAATACTCACAATAATTCACCACAGTCAGTGTGAACAATACGAATACATTATGACCACACAGTGGACGAAGAAACTTTTCAACAAGTATTTAATCTATTATTTACGTATTTCTGGACACATTCCTACATTTATGTATTGTTTCTACATTGCTTAGAAATATTTTATTCTGGAAAGTTCATCATCTGATAGTTGTATGTGGAAAGTATATAGTAACTTTATCTACCGTTTCACATTTTCAGTTTTCAATTTTAAACTTTGTAAATATGTCCCGAGTGACTTTTATCTTTTATATTTGATGTAACGACTAGCACTGCATTCTATGTTTAGTTTAGGTTCGGTGTATCTTGTGATTAGCTACTGTTATCTAAACACATTATTCTTCTTTAGTTGAGACAGGTGAATCGTGGAACACGTGACTTATCTTCCAATTATCCTTTGCAATCTCTCTCTCACCCTGTCGTTCTCGGGTACGTAGTTTATCCAGTCGCTTTCAACCTAAACCATGAGTCATGATCAAGCGTTTCCCATTCATATCTATCGCATCAATGAACACTAACTTGTATATGGTCTCACCTACCAGTGATCTTCCTCCGCGGAAGTATGATCTGTTTGCCATTTTCAGTCAGCCTCAGACTGAAGATTTGTGACATTCAACTTACGCTAAAATACATAGATTAATGGAAAAAATAACTTTTCATGCTACACGGCACATTTTCTCACATTATTTGTAACTTTAGCAATTTTCTAAAATTAAGAGAGTTCGACGAAAAGTAATCCTATGGTAAGCTTCCTTTGCTTGATTCATGGAATTAATTTAAAGAAAAAAATTGGAGCCGTTTTTGGAAAAACAATTATAAATTGAATTAAATTCAAATATAAATTATGTAAAAACTACTTTTCTTCTTTCTGTCTTTGGGAAACATCTCGTAATATATTCAATTGTAATCATTGAATATATTTATGATTATTTTAAATTCATTTCTGACTTGAAGTTAATAAATATTCTCACACAAATGCTGTGAGAGTGTTCCTTTTCCATTAACCCCATCCTCCCTTGTTTTAACTAGTCACCCTTGCGATGAACCTTTTACACTAATGGTGTATATATTTTCTTTGAATGACGTCGTATTTGTTATGTTTTAAACTTTTGAAAGTGGTGGAAGAGCACGCTCAATGGCCTTAGCCTCACCATAAATAAAGATTAGTTATTTATGTTTTTATTTACTTATTTATCTGTTTGATTCGCACGCCTTGTTAACCGCCCCGGCCTGCAGGTGCGCACGCTGTCGGGCGAGATGGACGTGTGGTACAACCTGGAGAAGCGCACAGACAAGTCGGCGGTGTCGGGCGCCATCCGGCTGCACATCAGCGTGGAGATCAAGGGCGAGGAGAAGGTGGCGCCGTACCACGTGCAGTACACGTGCCTGCACGAGAACCTCTTCCACTCGCTGTGCGAGGACAACTCGGGCGTGGTCACGCTGCCGGCCGCCAAGGGCGACGACGCCTGGAAAGTGTACTTCGACCCGGCGGCCGAAGAGATCGTGGATGAGTTCGCCATGCGCTACGGCATCGAGTCCATCTACCAGGCCAATGACGTCGAGTGGGCGGGCCGCTGCCCGCGGGCGGCGCCGGCGCGCCACGAGCGCCGCCGGGCGCGCGCCTCCGCGACCCCTCCCCCCCACGGGGCCCCCCGGACCCCCGGAAGCCCCCAACCCCCAAGAACTCACGACGAACGCTGCTCGCGAAAAGCGCTTGCATGCTCCCGAATGGCCGTTGTGTAGCATCCTGCCCTTCTACGAGGACCACGTGACAGCCTCTTCCATCGACCAGAGTGGGAATTCATGCATGCATCCTCTACCATAGCAACGCAGAAAGCGGTTATTACACTCGCTTCCAGCTTCGTGGTGACGTTTGTCAACCATCCATTACATGCACACGCTCACGAATGTGTTCGTACGCCACAATTTTGAAATGCAACGTAGTGGAACGTTCCATCGTAATGAAACCAAAATGGCTCTTTTCTTATCTCTGACACAGCATGCCAATCTTATCTGTTTCTCATTTTGGATGGCCGCTGTCGCGCCCTCCGTCGCATGAAGGCGCATACCTGACGTGCATCCCAACAGAGCAATACTGTGCCGTACTCGGCCTTCCTAACGGTCATGAAAATCTGTGGTCGACACCAATGTCTCACTATTCGGGTGTCGACACTGTACATAAGAGGTTCAATTTTGTTCTTTCTTTGAGGGATTTCTATTAGTTTCTACTTGTCATTTATTGAACACACACTCTGCAAAATGTTATCCGTCCAATACCTTTAATGAAAGGTTTGTTGTTTTAGGTTTCAGTTGAAAGTTATTGTTTGTTTTTTCAAATGGACAATTAAATGAGTCACCGATTATAGCGACTCATCGTAGGGCGCGTCTAGAGAGTCCTTTATTTCCGCAAACATTAAGATGTTTGTTTATATCTTCAGTTTACATAACAATTTAAATTGATAACATAACAGTAATGAACAAGCTACACCATCTTGATCATATTCATGTATTTGCTCCCTGCGCAAGTAATTGGGTTTCTTTTTAATTTATTGATCTGCATTAATCGAGTAGTGATACGTGTGTCAAATTTATGTTAGTAACGAAGTACTGAGTATTGTAGTCTCGACCGTAAGTGCATAATTTGGTATGTATCTTTTTATTCATTTCTAAATATTTAAAAAATAAAATTATTATGATTACATCTTTTATATTTCCCTTTAAATAACTCTCTGAATTATGATAATTTATTCTTTGCAAAGTTAATTCGGTATACGTATTTCATATTGGCGCTTTAGGAAGCCAATTCCAATTTTTAAACTGCTGAAACGTTTTCGCCAACTCCAAAACCAAATTATTGTTATTAATATTATTATTATTATTATTAATTATTATTATTATGGGACAAGGAACTGCATGAAACATAAAAATAGCTACGACACGTGTTCCCGTGATGCATTCAAACGCAAAACATCCGTATGCCTGGCGAAGAAAATCGCTCAACAAGCAGATTCAATCCGCTTACCTGGCAGCTTCCTACAAGATCTGCAGTCATCTGGATGAAAAAAACGGCAGATCGTTTCTCCACTAAGAAGCCACACGGGTTCCACTGCATGTGCCCCCAACACAACAGAGCCTTTTGCCTCAATTATCCATAGAGTGCATTTGACAACGACACACTAGTTCTCTGCTAGGCTTTGTAAATCAGACAAGCACGCTCCCATCATTCCCTTCCCATTATTGAACGTATTCTTTTTCGTTGCGGCGACAAAGCCCCTTCAGCAGCGCTCAGGCGCTTTCATGTCCCGCATCATTAGCTTCCTCTGCCATCCGCACGTCAGCTCTTTTGTTTTTCCCTTCGGATATGAGCAGTCTCCGCCATTAGTCCGCGCCGGGGCGATTCTTTTTTCTCAGTTTGGACCGTTTACCCATTCGCAGGCATTCAGTGTCCACGTTATCCGATTCCGCAGTTCCTTGGGATACCGCTCAGCCACGCATGCGCGCCTCCAATGCCAAGTCGATTCGTTCCTCGTTCCGGCTTACGTTCAACCCGCGCCGTTCTTGTCCGTTCGGAAACAGCCGCTGGGCGTCAGCCAATCCCCTGCCCCCTTGGGATGTGCTCATCCCGCACGACGCAGGCCGCAACAATCACACCACCACCACCGCCAACGCAACCTACCGTCACCACCACCAACCGACGCACACCACCGACGCAGCGCGCCGGTGGGCGAAGGATGCGCGGGCAGACGCGTCGTCCCCACGCGCGCTTGTACCGAGCGCCGTTGCGAAACCGCGTGGCCCCGTGCGGGCGCGGCGCGGCGCGCGGCGGGCGACCCCGCGGACGGCAGCGCGCGGGCGCGCGGTGCACGTCGGCGCGGGTGCTGAAGAGTGCGTGGCCCGCAGGCCACTTCACTGCTGTCCACCAAGTTACCTGTGCCCCCGGCGTTGCCCGCTGTCATGAGCACGCTGCTGGGCAACATCAACGCCTACTACGCGCACAGGTCCACCGGCCTCGGGTCCGCCGTGTCCGGCCAGCGACCGGCTTCGCCGCCTCCAACTTCCGGGGTGGTGCGCCGGCGGCGCCCAGCGCTGGCGCGGGCGGCGCGGCCGAGGCGCGGCGGGCGAGGGCGACGCGAGGCCTGGCGGAAGGGGAGGGCCGCGAGACGGGACGGCGAGAGGCGGGGGCGAGCACGAGGACCAAAGGCGACGCGAGCCGCGCTGCTCTGCCGGAGCGAAATCATACGTACTTCTTCGTTGAATTTCGGCTGCAGGCGGCGAATAAGGCAAACTAGTTTCTTTTGACAACGGTCTGTAACAGTAAATGCGATAAATTTCAGAACCAGGCGCTAATATAACAAATACATGAATTTAGGAATGAAATAGGATAGTTAAAAAAGTGGCGATCTGCCGAGTAAAAGAAGATTATTATAAAAAAATTTATAGTTATCGATTGTCTTTAATGGTGGAAGTTCTCAAGGCAATAAGTTTCAAAATGACTTCACTTCGGGAATTCTTGGCGTACGAAAGACATGCAACAATTAAGTAATAATTATCTGGGTTTCATTTACAATTAATTTTAAATAAGTATTTCGGTAATACTGAGTATAATTATAATATTGACGTCTTGCGATGAAACACATAGAAACAAAGATGAATGCTCACTTAAACAAGTACTATAAAAAAATAAGAACTTATTGAAAGGCTTTTGCTTTGTATCTGCAATGTCACGACATTAACTCGTCACGTAAGAACAGACTATGGTCAGTGATTCTGAGATGATGGTTGAGGTATTAATTAATGCTGTTGAGTTCACAAACTTACAATATGCCAAGACGAATGCGTATAGCCACACATTCCTGCCTTTGGATTATGTAGGGGGTAGTGCACGCACACATGTTAAGGCGTACAGTCATTCACGTTCTAATGGAATTATTGGGCTAATGAATAAAGTTGAGATGCTACCGTCTCCAGGAACACCTTGAACGAAAGAAACGGAAGGCTTGAGCTGTAATAAAGACCTCGGGGGAGGGGAGAAGAAAAAAATATTGCGTAACTGCAATATGTGTTAGAAATTGGAAACTATCTCTTTTCCTCGGAAAATCTTAAAAACGAAATAGGTGTACTCTGATCGGTTAAAGTGGTCATTCATTAATTTCATGGTTAGAAAATGTATCTAAATACCTAACGAAATATTCGTGATAGTTGTTAACTACCTTTTTAGTTTGAAATTATTATACTATAAATGATTTTTCAATTTCGTTAAAAGACGTTAATCAGTGTTTGAGCTCGCCCGCTTTTTGTTAATAACTCGCACTTTATAACTCTGTTATACTCCGATTTGCATACAAGTCCGATTTGATAGCGGGATTTCTTGTATAAAATATTCACAAACAGTAATAGTTTTATTATTAATTCTCTCCTAATGTAAAATGTTTCTATTTTCGTCACTATAATAGCTCGTTTTCAAAAACGAAAGACAAAAGTTATAAATGATTTATTATTTCCAACTCGTAGGTTAAAGTGGAAAATGACCCCAGACGGCGTTTCATCATGACTTTTCCTAATTTCACTTTTTGGCTTTGAAGAGGCGCCTTTGAATTAGCAGATTTTCACAATTGTAATGCTCCTCTATAAGGCTAATTGCAAAAGTTTATGAAAGTTTTCATCTGCGATGCTTAGGGAAAAAGCGATTCACAGTTCGTTTTGTTTTAATGTTACCAGCTTAAAGAATGCAGAACGAGAAATGCGGGAATGAACCCACTTCAACAAAGTGTAGTGTAGCAGGCAGTGGGGAATTTTGGGAGAAGCGTCTGGCACTGCGTAGGGGAGAGGGCGGGGCCGCAACAAACCGAGGCAGCGGAGGAGGACCGGTCCGCGGGCGGGGCAGGGGCGGGGGCTGGGGCGGGGCTGGGCGGGTGAGCAGACGGATCTCCAGGCGGGGCCCTGCACCGCCACCGGCGCACGTACCGCGCCCTCGTCACGCACGCCGCACCGTCCCGCGTCCCTCTTTGTCGCGAGGCGGGCCGGGAGATGATTTGTCACACGGGCTGGAATGGACGGGTGGGCGACAAGAGCGAGGCGACCGCACCAGCGAGGGGCGGGGCGGGTCACAATCACAACAAGACCTAATAATGCAGTTATTCTGGTTGGGGCGCGTCTTTCTACAAAGTACCCAGAGGCCGCTTTAGAAGGTACAATACAGAAAATCGGCTTTTACTGGAAATAGTATTTGCGCGGGCGTTCACCGAGGCTGCGACACGACGCTCGGCGTCTCGCGAACGAGTCGACGACGACGCTCGCGCCGCCGGGTGGGGGAGGGGAAGGGAGGGGGGTTAAATCTCCCCGCTTTACGGCTTCTGTACGCGACGTTCATCTCGCAAATCCACCGTTCGTCTGAAGCAGCTCCGTCTGCCGAGTGACAAGCACCACCGCGCTCCTCAAGCGACGCGAACTGCATTACGAACTCCAAATCGATACCGCACCTAACGAACACGACGGTTCTTTTACGCATTGTTGTTGTTTTACCGGTTATTCCAGATGATAATACTTCTCCCGTTTTTATTATTGTTATCGGGCTTTGTTTTTTTCAATCTGCTGTAGTACGGATCATTTCAAAAATCAACTTTATTTTTCAGAAATCAAATGAGATCAAACCTGGAGTCCGTACGCTTCGAAAATTCGTTTTTCCGTATTTTCAATGAATTGTATTCACTCGCACGGATAACAGCAAAGTGTAATAATTGTGTTTCTGGCTATTCTTGGTATGGCTAATCGTTTTACAAAATGTCCAGATATCGCTTTTGAAGTTACAGTGCCGAAAATTGGCTTTTGTATACAATATTTATTGTGTGTGCGTCTATTATTATTTTTTGTTTATGTGTCATTCTATTTGTATAGCCTTTCCATCATGGAAGGATATACAAAAGAAGGCTGCTATTTCATTTACTTCAACAACGGCAACATTTTAAATGTCATTCTGTCAGGGATTTATTGTCAAATATAAATAAACGGTTTACAATGTTTTTTTCGTAGAAAGAGATGTACAATATGAGAGTAGATAAATATGAGAAAATGCAGAATATTTATTCTCGGTTGGAAAAGTTTTGTTTCAAACTATTTTACTAAAGCTTACGAAACTACACTATAGCTACAACTAAATTTTTCAAATTTTATTGTACTTTAAATATTACAAAAATTCTGTTGAGCCATCAATGGTGAAATTGTAACAGTGTTTAACGCCAGTGCGTTGCTGGCACGCGTTGAAGCATGCAGTGCATTTTCGTGCGTGTGCGACGTGAGAAATTGTGGAAGTGTGCTGGCCGACTACGCGTAACTTTCACCAGACCCCTCTGGTGGAAGCATTGGCTGATAACCTCATAAAACACTACAGAACTCTCAACTCAACTGAACTCCACAATTACACACCCGAGCTGAAAACGCAGCCTTCTCAAATGCCACTTCTTTCAATCTTCTCTCTCTGTCACCTACGTCTTTCCTCTTCTTTTTCCCGCACAAAGTGGGGGAATGGATGCACAACCGGGGCCGGATCCCGCTGATACACAACAGTTCCCCTGACTTATTGTGTTGTTTTCCTTTCTTCCGTCCCGATCACAAGCGACGCCGATGAGTGAGCAACGGCCCTCGGACCCCGAGACACCCACCATCCGACCCGACCCGACCCGACCGCCCGCCGGCCCCCCGCGCCCCCGCGAAGCGACGCTGACCCGCGCGCGCGCGCTCTTGCAGAAGGAGAAGTTCGTGAAGCTGCTGGACCAGCTGCACAACTCCCTGCGCATCGACCTGTCCATGTACCGCAACAACTTCCCCGCGTCCAGCCAGGAGAAGCTGATGGACCTCAAGTCCACGGTGGACCTGCTCACCTCCATCACCTTCTTCCGCATGAAGGTGCAGGAGCTGAGCTCTCCGCCGCGCGCCTCGACCGTCGTCAAGGACTGCGTCAAGGCGTGCCTGCGCTCCACCTACCAGTTTCTCTTCGAGAACTGCTACGACCTGTACAACCGCGAGTTCCAGGTAGCCGCCGGGAGGGGGTGAGGGGGCTGCGGAGCACGTGGGGTGCGGTTGCGTTTCTTCCATTGCGTAGTCTTCTGTGAGCTCTGTTCCCGTTGTCACTCCCTCACGTTGTTCTCTCTAGTAGCTCTCTTCTCTTCTGCAAGTCCAGGAGAATTATCACAGAAATTTGATGAGAAAAAACGCCCTTTCCATAACTAGACAACCCACTCACTTAATGCACGTGAAGACTGGCACACAAATTTATATACTCACTTTACACGACCCTTTCTTTACACACTCTTAACATACTACTGGTAAACTTGTAAAAGAAAATCGAAGGAATGTATTTGAATGTTTTCTGTAGCCTTTTCCGGCTTAATAATTATTAAGATTATAATCTTTGGTATATCATTCACACACATCAATTTATTCACTAGATATGATTTTTACATGATAATATTCATACATCAAATTGTACAGTTTTCATGTCAAATGTTTTGAAAGTAAATTAATATAATATTCTTAAATGGCACTCAGGTGATAAATTATATTTTTGGAATGTACTTTTGAAATAAATTACATTTTTGGATTTATAGTTAACTGTCAATGACAACTAATAAGACTGTTTCAACTGTAAAGCTTTGTATACAAATTCTGTGAAGATGTTGTAGAGTATTTGCTCAAAATTACGATATTTAAGCTTAATGAAACCCATATAATATTTTTTAAACAGAATGTTCATATTAACAATGTAATTAAATGTAATTCAACTCTCCTTCTGTCCACGTTTTCAAATTAGAGAAAATATGAGATAATCATCTGCGACTAAGGTGTTTGTCGTCTTCATAATTATTGTGAAGATATACTTTTCACTCTTGAATGTTTTTCAGTTTGTTCTGCGACATTTGGTTTGATTAGTCATTTCATCAATAATTTCCTCTTTCTTCTTCACTCTTCACACTTTCTTATTCAACTCCAGCCACTTATCTAGTTCATTCTTACACACTATTCAGTAGACAAAGCATCTTCAGCCCTTCTCTCATACACTGTAGTTTCCCTTTGGTTGTGATTTGATCGTGTGCCAAACTACATGCAAGTAAACAGAAAACATTGAGATTTCTTTAGTATCCAAATTTATTACAAAATGTAAAAATTAAGAACATATGTAACTCTTATTAATAATTGTTAATTTAACGCTTCTAAATGGTAAATAATCAAGAAATTTTATATAGCATATTTATAAATAATTTAATTAATATTTTGTCTCCATGAGTTTCCATTTTTACTCGTACGATAACCGGAATTGTGTAATTAATAAATATTCCTAAAAAGCAGTTTTGAAAAGTGACTTTCTCTAATACAAAAGTAATAATTAAAAAATTTCATTTATAAATTTATTGTTGAAACCAGTAACAGCTGTATGACATGTTTCATATAACGTATGTATACGTATACGATATATACGTGTATGTACGATGTACGTATGTAATGTATGTGTGATGTATGCATCAAAGTAAAGTGAAACTCGTTCATGCAGAAAAACAAAAGGTTATAACTTCTGAAAATTTATTGCACTTAAATCATATTAAATCTTCAATTTTTAATTAATTTTCAGGAAAAATAATTTTTTGTGTAAAATAAGTGAAGAGAGAAGTCATTTTTTGTCTTAAAACTAGTTATAAAATCGACTTAACCTAAACAGAGGAACGAAAATCCAGCCTTAACGGCCGGCGTGCGTTGAGATTTTATCAGTCCGCCTCCATTAAGAACAATCAAAGCGAAACAAATTAGTTTTAAATGGAGTATAATAACACTTATCCAAAAAATGGTATTTATTCTTGTTGCCAACAAGAAAATAGTACGAAACGTATTGAACGGCACATAACCGATAACGTAAATAACAGTCTCACTTTATCCTTTGCGGTTTATCGGCCTAATGATCTTATAAGCATAACCAGGGCTTGATTTCTGGCGGAAGGACATTCCGGTACCTCGTGAACAAAAAGGAAGAAAAAAACAAACATTAAGCAGATGACAAACACTTAGCTACTTCCAATGCCCAACTGATTTTCATAAACTCAGAATTAAAAAAAAAATTATTTGAGGAATCGTTTCTACGAACGTATATCATTTTTGATAATATAATAATAATTTATAGTGATAAAATATCATTATAAATTCTTTTTTTATCTCTTAATATTGTCATTACACTTGCATTTAACCACTGTTATCAATTGTTAAGTATGATTTATAATTATTAAGTTATAATATATAACTATTTCTGTTATATGAATTAGGGTCGCGTTCGGGAACCTAAAATTGTATAAATCAAGCACTGAGTGTTGTTGAAATCTCCTTGTTGCTGTGCGCTTAGCATGGTTTGGCGAGCGATGGCTGCTGGTGTCGAGCCTTGGAGGTGTAGGGGCCGGGGCGGGGGGGTGGGCTGCCGGAAGCAGGCTCGAGCCTAGCGCGCCGCGCCCGCCGTCCCGCTGCAGGTGGACCCCAACGAGGCGAAGCGCGAGCAGGAGGACCACGGGCCGCGCCTCGACTCGCTCGACTTCTGGCACAAGCTCATCGCGCTCATCGTGTCCGTCATCGAGGAGGACCGCAACAGCTACGCGCCCGTGCTCAACCAGTTCCCCCAGGAGCTCAACATCGGCCAGGTAGCGCCACTTACCCGCCCTGTCGGCCGGCTGCTCGGCGGCGCTCATAATTGGACAGGGCACTCGATTCCCTTGTTTTCGTCATTAAGCGGACGAGCTTTTTTTTCTTTTCGTCTTACTTGTGAAAACTATACATCGACTTAACATTTTTTTACATTTTGGCACATTTGTTATTTTTACTTTTTTGTAATTTTTTTTAGTAATTGTCGGAGTTTATTTTTTTCTTTTTCTCTTTTACAGAGATAGCACCATTTTTATTACCCATAATGTTTTTTATAATACTGTAATTTATTAACAATACCATGTTATTTAATGCGGCCAGAAATCGTTTTTTTTCATAGAGTCGTTTGGTATGACAGTAGAGAAATTTGCGCACACATTTTAGCCGTAAATTTAAATGAAGTAAATCACATACACGCCTTTATTTAGTCATTTCAAATTGAAAATGTTGCGTCAGCTGGGAAAGAAGTAAAATATTTCAGAGTATTTATATTTTTTATAAATAGTGTACTATTTTAATATCTTTAAAATTTTGTTTATCGCATTGCTCATTCTGAATGATATTATTAAAATTAATTTATACACAGTGAATATAAAGAAAATCATGCGAATTTACCTCTTATTTTATTAATAAAAAACTGTATAAATAAATAAATAAAAGATTTTCGGTATCGAAATTATATTATCTAAAAATATTGTCGATCGTGTAACGATCATCCTTAGAGTTTGCAGCGCCAAGAGCAAAAATAAAGTTATCCTATTAATAATAAAAAACTCTGATTACATAATAGTGTACAATCTTTTTCCAATATTAATTTGATTTTTGAAACCAGAATCACCATTTTTATTAGAACTTTCCTAATTTTTACGTTAATAAAGTACGCGGATCCATAGCGATCTGCTCGTCAGTGAGGTGCGCATGTTTCTCCCGGCGTCTGTCCGTGTGGCCCTGCCCTGGCCAGCTATAGCGTCGCGCCGAGCGGCGCCCGGCCTCCCTCGAAGGTGGGCGAAGGAGGGGAGTGTGGGGAGTGTGGGGGGTGTGGG